TCATCGTCGTCTACATTCTGCAGCTTCAGTCTGCACCTGATATCCTCGCTTACGGCAATAACCAGTGCCATGCAGCAGCGGTGAATACTTTCAGCATCTCCACTTCACACGTCGTCAGTCGGCATCGTATGTGCGTTTCAGCGAGCGACGATCGTGGCTCACCTCAGGTTCAGGGGCCCCGGCAACACAGTCTTCCGACGAGCTTCCAGAAGCTTGCCTTTCTCGACAACCACGACCTCACTGTCGCTTCATTTCCGCACGGTCCGTTTAGGCCCGGCGCTCTCTCGACGTCTCATGTTTCTGGAAAATTGCCTTCTTTGTGCTTTAACCATTCTCTTTTGTGACTTGCACCCAATCACAGCCCTCTCTCCCCGAGACCCACCTCTTTCCCTCCCATTGGCCCGCCGGATGCCCTTGCTCCTTCCCCGTTGCCAGTTCACCCAAACCTCACCACCACGTCCTTCTCGGTCCGTCCTGCTCTACCTCCGGCATGTTCTTTCCGTTCAAGTCCAACGCATCCTCTCTTGACCCCACCCTCGCTTCCAACGTCATGTTCTCTGCCTGTTTGCTGTGGCAGAATCCTTCTCCGGCTGGGATGTGCTTATTGATATCCGCCTCCTGCGAGTCATTATCGTGGAACCTGGACGCTTCTGTCCGCGCTGCGCGTTTGCTGCAAGATGATTCAACCCGAGATCTGTGCTGACCTGCCCGCCAGATCTTCAATTGATGCTGCTGCTTCTGCGTGCTTGTGCGTCTGCGTATGCTTCGCCTGAGCTTGGTCGCTGTTCTGTAGGTTCGTCAGCCAACCCACTTTGACGACGGTTGGCCGACAAGGCCTGTCGCCAACTCATTCCCACCGGTCAACATCAACATGCCGATGGGCGTTTGTTCCCACCGGGAAGGCCTCCCGCCCTGACACAAATTCCACCAAAAGGCGCCCGCCGAGCCAGGTTCACAATTTCGCCTGCGCTTTTCCGCCTCGGTCTGGGCAAGCCCGGAACGGCTGGCAGCTCGTTCACCGACACAGCCTCCTGCGACTCACGGACGCCCTGGATGGGTCAAGACTGACCCACCCTCTCGCTGGGACCTCCCGGCTTCTTCAATGCTTCCAGAAACACCGAAGGGGCCTCGCTTCGGACTGTGTGCTGGCAAAACTCGGTTGAGCTCCCGCCCTCCCTCTGGAAAGGGGCATCGAGGGGTCTTGCCGTTGCCGTGCTCACAGCGGGTAGGGCGAAGCTGCCCTCTCCCCAGTCCGCACGCGTTACCTGGATTCCCTTGCGTGAAGCAGTCAAGCCACACTGATCGATTCCAGAGTTCGCAGAGGGCGTCGCCGCGCTCAATTCTCAACGACCTGCAGCGCGAGCTCTGATCCCATCAGGCCTCCCTCCCGCACGCACGAGTGCTGCAGCAGCTCAGCGTCTCTCTCTGTGCGTAAGGCTGATGCGGGAGAGAAAGGGCAAGCTGTGCCCAGCGCCGCGACAACCTCAACTTGAACGTGGGTAACCGATGCGCGCAACCTGGGGACTATGGCACGAGGCTTTTGCCGTTCAAAACCAGGAGGAGAGCCTCCGGCGTTGCAACTTCCCAGCCTATCTAGCTCCCGGACATCTGCGGCTGTGATATATTTGGCCTATCTTTGGACCCATGACAACCACCTTTTCCTTTTGGGACAGCGACTAGACAAGCATCTCGGTGCGTGCAAACTTTAATTTTCGACCAATTGCAAGATTCTTTCAAGCCAGACAGCCGGATCTATCGTCTCAGGTCTTGTGTGGCCCTTCACCCGGCAGGATATTTTGCTGAACAGAAAATGCAAATCACCGTGTATCAAGTTTCCGCGTCCCAAACTCCCGGTCCGTCGTCAGACTAGTTTTTGGTGCCTGAGCATTTCGTCGCGTTGCTGGTCGGTCGACGAGTCAGGAAGCACTTGCAACTTGACCATTCATTACCTGACTATCAGAAGACGGCAGTGCTCGATCCAACTAAAATAGCGACTATTCTGCGAAAGATGTGCTTCATGTCTCACGATCGAACGAGCACATGCATGACAGGGTAAGCCTTTCGAGCGACTGATGCGACGACTGCGAGAACTAAAAATATGATCTCCAATGCAAGGTATGTCAACCACAGAGTTTAACTTGGAGATAGAAGAGCTATAGCCGAAGAAGATTTCCTTACGAGTACACCATTGAGCTTTCGCCAGCAACAATTGAATTCTTTACACAGCCCTAAATTCAAATCGCCATCTGCATGCGATTCGGCAAGCCGAGAGCGACATGCTGCCGAGTACAAGCGCGGTTTTCAGACAGGTCGAAGCAGCCGCCACAGGATTGTGGCTGCTCCTTGGATTCGTCTATAGATGCCGCACAGAATCCTCCACTCGACCCGGACCGTCTGAAATTAGACTCATGTCAGGGCGCTGGTGCTGACGACGGCAGCAGGCGTCGCAGGATCGTGCAGCGGGGAGGACCCAGGGCAAAGGTGCCTCAGGGCAGGATACCGACGTCAGCTGGGCCAATGCCGTCATATTGGGGCAAATTTGACGTTTGTCAAGACGGTCTGCATCCCTCGCCTTCCCGGCATCTGCTGCTGAATCATTCCTCAAGCTCAACTTCTGCAGGTGGGCGAGCATCCGGGCAGTCCGAGCGTCCTTCGATTCTGTTTCCATTTTTTTTCTTCAGCCCTACCGGTGTCGCTTGCGCAGAAGCTAACCACCTGGTTCCTTGTTGGTGGTTCCTTGACCACCGCCCTTCCCGTGTGTCTGCGGTCTTTCGACTCGTCCAAGCTGTGGTTTGTGCTGCCCTAACTTTCCATCTGACCCCTCCAGAAAGTCCCGACCTGCCGGCGCCTGGTACCTGCCTCCTGGCGGCGCGATACCAAAGCTTTCGACCCATCTGCTCAGGGATCCCCCCATCCCACCCCCATCCGTGCCTGGAGTGTCGCCAAACCAGACGAGTCAAGCCGTGCCGCAAGCAGCTGCGCTTCTCCCGCTGCACAGGACGCTCGCTGCAGATGCGGCCGGTACCTGGATCTTCGCCCAGACACCAACGGCAGCGCACGTACGCTCGCCGTCCTGCAGCGACAATGAGCTTTCCACGTGGTGGATGTGCGATGCGGGGAACTTCAAAGCTTCGAACCACCACTTTTGTCCCTTTCTCATAGCAAAACCGTTCAATACGCACCCTTTCGATTCCCTCTTCAGCTTCTCCGATCCCCCTCCTCTCCCTCCGTTTTCGCACCCTCATCCCTACCGAACGCTTGCTCCAAATAAACTCCAAACCCCCCTTGCCAGGGCCTCTGGTTCCATCCCTGCGGACTTTGCCCTCTGGTCCCTAACGCACACACGCAGCACCCTGCCGGACAACCCTACCGCCCTCCCCTTCCCACGGCTCAGCCCAGCGCAAACGCACCAAAACAGCCTGCCAAGCCCTGCGACTGCGCCGTTCTACAAGCGGAGTCTTCCTTACGTTGTGCCCCTGATTGGGCCGCAATTCTTTTTGGGCAATTTGAGTTGGCCCTTTTTCGTGCGGCTAAAGCCTGCTTGGCTGGAGCCGTTTGGTGCCTCTTGGCGGCGGGTGAATGGCTCTCTGTCAGGGACGGAGTGTGGCGGTGGGCAGCGTGACTGCTGGACCCTGAATGTGATGAGGAGGGAATGGTGCGGAGGGCCTATGAGATGTGGGGGTGAGGTGGCACTTGCAAGCCGCCCTCGACTTGGGGGCTGATTTCGTTTGCATGCTTTGTGTGTTGTTTGCCTGCTCTGCTTTCGCCTTGTCGAGTTTTGATGTGTGTCCACCATTTTTGCAAGATGCTTCTGTTCTCTCCTCAAGTCGCTCGCCTCACCAAGTACATCGACAAAGGGCAGTTACTGGAAACTGGAAAGGCTGACCACACACCGACGCTTGAAGACACAAATCTGGCGTCTCCGTCTTCCTCATTTCATGCAGAGCAAAAAATTTGAGCACGAGTCGTAGTTTCTTTTCCATTCTTGTTCTTGCCTGCCGTAGCTCGACCGCTCGTTGGATTGCGTTCAAACGCTGTACTTTGCGTACACATATAACAACGCAAGAGAATTCTCGAGCGGCGGATGCGGATGCACCAGTAAATGAAGTAGCAGCTCGTCAGTGAGTGCAAAAGGCGGCTTGCGACAAGCAGCACTGTAAGGTCGACTACCTACGTACCTACCCAATGAAAGCATCTCATTCATGTAAAGGAAGGATGGGTGCGCGGGAACTGTCTGCCTGTGGTGGTGGAGACCAAGTCTGGCATGGTGGTGGTGGTGGCATGAACAACAGCCCGCGGGTGGTAGGGTGGTCAGTACAACAGAAGATCTGCTGCTGTATGCTTCAGCACACCGAGCGGATGCAATGTCGTGACGGATTGGCGAATGGACTGAAGCATGGACTGCACAAGGTGTTCTCTGCCACCTAGCCGAGTAGGTGGGTGTCGTGAGGCAGATGGGGGGGGGGGGGGGGGGGGGGGGGGGGGGGGGGGGGCACGCAAAGGAGGGCCGAGTAGTGTCTACTCGGCAAACTCGTTCTTCACTCCCTCCATCTTTGCTGGCTGGGCTGGGCTGGCTGCCCACTTTCACGTCACTCTTTTGGGTGTGCCGCGCAGGGAGCGACGGGAAAGATTGTGTGTTGGAGCCCCCCATGTGTTGTAAAGACGGAAGAAGGAGTGCGGGGAAGGATCAGTAGTCGGTCGGCACAATCGCTACCTACTACAACGGGATACGTTGATCAGTGGCAAGGGAATGTTCAAGAGCTAGCTGCTGCTGCCTGGACGAATCTTGCTCGAATGTATGCAGAATCAGGATTTCTACAAGTCGGTCGACTATTTTTCCATCCTTTTGGTCTTCAGAATGGACGACCAAGGACAAAGTACTGATTCCGTATGCTTTGTAGAATAGATTCTTATGGCGTGGTTTATTTTCCCTATATATATATCTATGCGACCGGTAACACAGCACACAGTGACGAAGCAAGCAAACGTTTATGACGAAAGGGTCGGTGGTGTAGTGGTAACATGTGTCGCGGCTACAGTCTTTCCCGCGATTCGTTCCAGGTTCGATTCCTGGCTGACCTGCTGCTGTTAACCTTTTGCCTAGTTCTTTTTGCGCTGCTGGTGGGAGGGCTGGAATGTGTGGTAGCCAAAGCACGGGCTGAGGGATTAATAGATGAGGTTGTTTGGTGGGTCAGTTGGCATGGGGGAAGAGGGATGCGCAGTTGAGCAGTTGAGGGAAGTGGGAGCTGAGGAGTGTTGTTGTAGACATTTGGTTATATTACATTTTATGTAGAGACCTTTTGGAGTGAGGATTCAAATTGTGAAAAGTATGCAAAACGCCGCCGCCATCCATGCTATGCCAATGTAAGTACAAGTCTGAGGAGAAACAAAAAAGCTCGTTCCCTTCCACAGCACCCGCCATCCGAGACCGTGTGGTCACCGACGGCTTCAATCCGAGCCGAAACAGGTGGCACCACCCCCTGAGATGTAGACGTAAATGGTCTACTGAGCGCCAACGCCACCCGTGCCAAACAGTTCTATCCGCACTCGGCTCTCATCGACGCCCTTGGCCAGTAGTGCCTTCTTGGTCTGCAGCATAAACTGCTCCGGGCCGCACACGTAGTAGAGGGCATCAGGGTTGGCAAGATGAAGCGCTTCGGCGTCGAGCAGCGCCAGGTCGACGCGGCCTTCGTGGTCGAAGTCGACGCCGCGGACGTCGCCCGCCTGGACGCGCGACGTGAAGAGCGCCGTGCGTAGGTTGGGGCGGCGCGTGGCGAGGTCTCTGATGTGCGCGGCGAATGCGCGAGCCCCTGTTGAGCGGGCGCCGTGGATCCAAGTCACCGGCCGCTTCTGCTGGTCGTCGACAATGGTTTCGAGGATGGACAGCAGACAGGTAAGACCGACGCCCGCGGAGACGAGGACGACAGGGGCATCTTGCTTCTCCTTTTGCGCGTCAAAGTAAAAGTCGCCAAAGGGGTGCGACACTTCGACCTCATCGCCCTCGTGCTTGTTGCCGTGCAGCACGTTGGACACGAAGCCCGGGTGTCCGGCGTCCGGAGCGCCGTCCTCGCGCTTGACGCTGATGCGGTAGTATGGCTTGCCCGGCGCGCTCGACAGGCTGTACTGGCGCGGCTGCAGGTGCGGCAGACTGGGGACGGACGTGCGTACGCTGATGTACTGGCCGGGCAGGAACGAGGGCAGCGGCTTCGACGCGTCGGTAGGCTCGAGGTAGAAGGAGGTGATCTCGCTCGACTCGGGCACCTTGCGCGCGATGCGGAAGCGGCGCCAGTCGGTCCAGCCGTCTGCGCTGGCGTAGAGCGCTGCTTCCTTTCCGATCAAGAGGTCGGCCAGCTGCCAGTACGCCGCTGCCCAGGCGTCGTGGATGTCGGGCGTCAGCGCGGCGCCGAGGACCTGTGCCAGCGCCTCGAGCAGGTACTTGCCGACGATTTCGTAGTGCTCGGGGCGGATGTAGAGGGAGGCGTGCTTGTGGACGATGAGCTCGACGGCCGGCGAGAGAACGCCAAGGTTGTCGATGTACGAGGCGTAGGCATACAATGCGGTTGCGAGGGCCTTGGGTTGATGTCCGTTGAGTTGGTTCGCAGTGTTGAAGATGTGGTTCAATTCTTTGTGTGCATCCAGCATGTTTTTGTAGAAGACGGTCGTAATGGCATTGCCATGCTCAGCGAGGACCGGCGCCGTGGATTTGATGATGGCCACTTGAGCCGGCGTCAAGGGCTGATGCTTTGGTGCCATTTGAGGCTTTTGTTCTTGAGAGCCGAGAAGAGGCATTGATGTGAGAGAATTAAGGGAGTGGTAGACTCGATGAAGTTGATGTAGGACTTGGAATCTGATGTGATGATGGCGCTACCAAGCTCTTTCGTTGCCATCCTTTTAAGGAGCGCATGGTTCTGTTCCGTGGAGATGTCCAAACAAGTATCCGAAAGTAAATGCAGTCGAGGCATGAAACGAGAATGAAATCACTCCACCTACCGTACGCGTTGCATGGTTACGGGGATATCCGGACAGGTTCTGAGGATCATTTCGAGGACGCATCCGAGCCAGGTGCGACGACAAAACCACAGGGCTACAGAGAGCCGCCTATGAATGCAATTGCAGTTACTCAATTGTGGCCATGAGGAACGAGGCGCAAGAAATTGGACGGCAACCCCAATTTACGTCAGCCGAGACGGGTGGACTGTTATTCGACAGAGGTTTGTGGTGGAGAATCCAGGGGAACTTCTCCGCGGAAATGGTGTTTTGGTCGGAGGGCGGAGGGCGGAAGGCTCGCCGGCTCCGCCCTGCAGAGTCACAGAGCCATCATCAACCACCTCTTCGCCATCCGAATACCCCCGGAGATGCTCAATTTTTGGTCGCCCTGACGGCCCTTTTTCGATCGTAAGCTGACGGGCTCCGAAATGTCCGTCAGACTTGATCCTCTTCGGCACGCTCTGATGCTGTAGGCCACGCCCGTCGATGAAACTAGCTGCCAGGCCGTTGGCAGTGCTGTGGAAGAAGAGTCGAACAAGAGCCGCAACGAACGACGTCCAGGTTGTCACAGTGGTTAGGCTCGGCCCGCGACGCCAAGTTAAGACGCGATGATGCACGTGGCGTCAGGTTGGGTGAAGATCCTGCGAGTCAGCAGCGGCGACTTTGTTTGTTCGGTTTGGCGGCTCAACTAGGTCGCTCTGGAACCGATCGTTTTTGGTGATTGACGACGAAAGAGATTTTTCAGCAAAGACCTTGATGGCTAGAGTAGTAAGCAGAATCCTCCAGCGTGAGGGATACGAGGTCGCTGACTGATGACCAAGCCAAGCACAATAGCAGGCCTGAAGGTCCAAACAGACATCATATCGTCGCGACTTGGTTGGATGTACTCTGCCAGTATGCCGATCGTATTTTGAGCTTCTCCGAGTAGTTTGAGGACAATCGACCTTTTTTCGAAGGTCTTTCCAGACAACCCTGGCGTTTTCTGCTCTAAACACTTCGGAAGCCCAATCGATCTCCTCGCACGTGACCTGATTTCATCGTCGGAGTTATTTCACTCGAGAGTGCGGAGTGAGTCTGGTTGTCTTGATTCATTCTCGCTTCGCTACTGCCAGAGTCATGATAGCGTCGTCTACTCCGGGCGTAGTGTCCCTCTTGCGGATAAATGCAGATGAGGGGAACCACGCGCCAGGGTCATGAGAGGCACAGGAAAATGATGGCCTCAGGTCACCTCGGGAGCAATCCTTTTCTTCTGGCTCTCAGAATGCAGAAAAAGTGGTCTCGATCTCATGTTTGTCTTTCTCGCGGCAGCTGTCTGAGTTTGGCAGTAGAAGAGTAGGCAAGGTCAATTGACCGCACACCTGCACCACCACAATGTACTTCCAGATGTGCTATACGAGGCGCATTCTCTGCCTTGATCCAATGCCACTGATTGGAGGAAATAGTCCCGCCACATGAGGAGAAAGCCAAGAAGAAAGAACAATGGCGAAAATATTGTATAAGAGATGGGCCCCATGCCTTAGGTCCCTGAGGGCGAGGGAACGATTGTCAAAATGTACATCTCAAACCTGCTTGGAATTGGCATATTGCTGGCAAACTTCGCAGCTGGCGCGCCGACCAATGGAGGCTCCAAAGCCTTTTTCTACAAAGGACACGACATCTCGTCGCTGAAGATGCTCGAAGATGGCGACACGCAGGCCGTCTTCAAGGACACAGCGCGGGGCAACGCGACAAGACGCGCCGAAGACATTCTCGCAGACGGAGGCATGAATGGAGTTAGACTTCGGTGAGCAGCACTCAATCCCCAATGCTGCGTTCGTCCAACTCCTAACCGCCGCCCCAGCCTCTGGGTCAACCCCATTCCTGGTCAATACGACCTCGACTACGTGCTGGCGCTCGCCTCTCGTCTGCACGCCGCTGGCCAGGCCATCTATCTCGACTACCACTTCAGCGATACGTGGGCGGATCCACAACACAACAACGCCCCAGTAGCGTGGCCGACATCGCTGGAGCCCCTCGCAGCGACGCTGCGCGCCTACGTCAACAGCACGCTGCACGCCTTCGAGGACGCGGGTATCCCGCTTGCTCTCGTCTCGCTCGGCAACGAGATCCGCCACGGCATGTTGTGGCCGCTGGGCCACGTCGATGTAGAGGTCGAGCCGGAAGATGCTCGCGTCGCCAATTTCACGGGGCTGGCGACGCTCTACAAGGCGGCGCGGTGTGGGGTGGACGACTACGTCGACACTTCCAGCAGCACGCAGCAGCCGGCCGTCATGATACATATGGACAACGGATGGAACGTGACGTTGCAGGAGCGCTGGTTCTCTTCGCTGACGGCGACCGGCCTGGTGACGCCCGCCGACTGGGACGTGCTCGGCTTCTCCTTCTACCCGTTCTACGGCACGACCGCGACGTTTGAGAATCTGGCGACGACGCTGGACTGGGCGGCCAATGCCTTTCCCGGGACGCCGCTGCACGTCGTCGAGACGGACTTCCCGGCGCGGTGTGATGGGGAAGATGCCCCTGAGTTGAGCGAACCGGACATCGCCATCAGCGCGGCGGGGCAGACGGCGTGGGTGAGGCGGGTTGAGGAGGTCGTGAAAGCGGTTGAGGGGGGCGTCGGTCAGGGCGTGTGGTATTGGGAGCCGACCTGGCTGAACAATACATCGTTAGGGAGTGCGTGTCAGGATGCTATACTGTTTGATCAGGACTGGAGTCAGTATCCGCGCGTCACGGGCTATTCAAGATCGAGTGTGGACATGTTCTTGGATTCTGTATAGCTGGATATCAGGGTATGGGGAGATGTTGGGGGTGTGAAGGAATTCGCCATAAGCCCCAAGATCATATTCGAGGAATGTGAGGGCCGTTCGGGCTATGAAAGTCGTCCGCCTTCGTCAAACCCGAAATGTTCATCTTGATGTGGGAAAAGCCGCCATGTGAGAGGGATGCTGTAATGAGAAAGTCGGCCGTAAATGTTCTTCGTCGTCCGCGCTGGCGAGCGGACTCTTCTCCAGTCCCCCTTGTAGACAAAGGGAGTGATTGGTGATATGGAGGCGGTGGGGTTTCCGCCTCTGTCGCTGAATTCTTTCATGTGGTAT